TTCCTGCTCACTTGCCTTTCTCAGTCTTGAACACAATTCCTTGATAGCAATTATGTTCACAGGACAGCTCTCCTTCTACCTAAGTTCCTTTATTAATACAAATCAATATACAAGCCACAGCACAAGGCAAAATCTAAAATGGTATGCAAAATACAACTTTGCATCATTTACCTTCTGCTAATAGGTTTGGTGAGACAACATTCTGACAGCATTTTCTCATAACACTTGCAGACAGGAAAAACAATTTTAATATGTAGCAACAACTAATAGTGTTTGGTTGAACTTCACAGCTATTCATAGAGCTTTTATCCATACAGGTCACAATTACAGGTTCTGAACTGTAAACACACATTGTCTTTTTGAGAGTTTGATCCTACTTGTGGAGTGCCGTGAGTTATTTACAATACTCTGCTCATATGCACATTTTACGCAAACAGTAGCTCATCAGATCTGGCCCTTCCATGGATTTTTAATTCTGTCCCAGCACACTGAGATCTCTGCAAAACAGGAAACATGTCCAGTGCTTAGCTGCAGATTTCTTGCTGCCTTTAAAAAAATCTGAATTAGTTTCTGCAAGTTGTCCTGTGCTGAGCAGCTGGTTCAGTCCCCAGGTGTAGGCTGCCTCACTCTGCGGCAAATTGCCACTAACAAGCCCCTAGACTTAGCACCTGCCACGGATAACAGGATCCTATCCAGAAGCTGACTGTCCATTGTCTTGCATGTGCCTGGAGCTGTGGCTGCAGGCTCCTTGTCTTTCTACAGATGTGCAGCTATTGTCTTGAATAAGGTACGATTTGGTGCTGGCAGCATTAGGAATTAGTTCTACTTTCACCATCTGGGGTTCAGAATGAGGTACTGTTTTATTTGTGAGATAACAGACACATATTTTATACATTTATATTTTAAAATGGATGCATGTTATATATTCACAAATTAATTTAGGCTACTTAAAGCTCTGAAGAGGCAACTGGCCTCTGTAACAGTCTGTTGTCTGGTACCATAAGGAATGCAGTGGAGCTGGTGCTAGCGTAAGTCCTGATTTTTCCCTTGAATTTTCTGTAGACAATAGGCCAGAGAGCTGTTCATATCTGTAAATCATAGCCTTGTGTAAGTGTACCGCGGGACGGGAACCCCTCCATCAAACAACACACTGATGTCTGTACTATCCCAGCATACTTACACTGTGTAGGTGACCCAAATACAGCCCCTAGTGCTTCACGGAAGCTGCTGTAAGCACAGGAGACCTTTTCCGTCTCTGTGTGATTGCAGAATGCAGAGATATCCGCCTCAGCCCTGCAGACTTCTGCCTCCAAGTAAGCTTATGGCTGTGCATAAACATTTGCTGCAGTAGGGCAAAGCCCACACCCCTTCCTAGCTTCTGTGTGTTCTGTGACAGCAGGTCGTATGACACTTGTTAGACTGTGCCTAGGGTTACATTTACTCTGATTTTCTAATCTTTATTCGTCACCACTATTGTAGTCTTGCTGCAGGTGAATGAAGTCTTTCGTGTAGTAGAATATAAAAAAATTCTTCCATCTGTTATAAAGTTATGCTGTGCAAGAAATTATTTCGTGGTGGGCACACAGTACTTGTGAGGATGGATTTTTAATTGCTTTATTCTTGCTTTCTAGGTATATGCCAATTGGTATTGTATTTTTAATTGCTGGGAAGATAATAGAAGTTGAGGACTGGGAGATCTTTCGTAAACTGGGTCTTTATATGGCTACAGTACTAAGTGGGTATGTTATTTTTAAAGACAAAATTAAATATGTGCAATTTTTAGAGTTTAGTTAATTATAACTCAGTTATCCATGACACAGCTTCTTTTAGGTTGGAGATAAAAATTCTTGGCAGTGAAAATTATGTGAAATAAATGAAAATTCATTGTTTCATCTTCCCAGCTTGCTGCTGAAGCAGATAACATCATTGTGTTTTTGAGAGTAGTAATGCTTCTGTTGGATACTAGAAGTTGGAAAGGTGAAGTTGTGAATTATGGGGATTGCCAGCCTATTGAAAATACCTGAACATCTGGATTGAATTGAGAAGCTCTGTGGGCCCAAGGTGTACCAGCATAGGCCCAGCTCCACTGCTCGTTATAAATGCATAGTAAGTGCAGTGCACAATAAACGATACTGAAGAGGAAACAGTCTTTCCCATGTCACTGCAGAGCAGTGAGCTGACATGGAGTGAAGCCCTGGGGACTGCACTATTAGCTACTCCTTCAAGGCAAAGGTAGCTGGCAAAGCTGCAGAAGCAGCAGTTACTAGCTGAATAACTTAGCCAGACATTAAAAGGATTTTTTTCTATTCTTTTTCTAGACCCTTGGCTGTGTAGAACAGTCTGGGGTGGAGGAGATAACACCTGCACAGTGCAGAGCCTTGCGAACATGAAGCCTTAGAAAGGGCAACTTAACTGCTCCAACTGATATGGAATACTAGATCCATTATATATCTCTGAAGACTATCCTACAAAGGACCCTTTTGATAGATAAATGGATATTGCAGTCCTAATAATTTAGTGCATTTAAATTTCTATTTCCAATTCACTGAAGCATAACTTTTAGGCTGTCTTGGTTCATTGCCTTAGCGTCCATTTCAGTAAATCCTTCAGTACACTAAGGATTTATTCATGTTTTGTCTGAAGGCTAGGTCCAGAGTTGATCAAGAGCTTCTTTTCTTCCCACTTTATGCATATGCATTCTATTTTTCAAATGTCATTCACACACTTGTTGACAAAAGAGCAGAGAGAAGGTTGATATATTAGTCTGAAATTCAAACTTTTCTATAAATAGTCAAGAAGGATCTTTTTTTTTTTTGCATTAATGATTGCTCAATAATCATATTTATTTCAAAGTTGTTGTTTTGTTTTATGCATGAGCCAGTATGTTTGGACTAGCTGTTCAAAAATAATTGGAGGTATAATGACTTTCTAAGTAAAAATTGCAGCTCCAGAAATAGCACTGAATCATGACTTTTTGAAAATGTTACAGAGATGAGTGCAACTTATATTTGTCTAATGCATAATGTATTTTTTGAGGAGTTTCCATTCAGACTTGAAAAAGAAATCAGATTTTTAAAAGATGCAAAAGTTGATGTTTACTGAGAGACTGTAAGTCAAGGGACTGGTATTTTCTACACAGATTGTAAATGAGACCATGGCTACAAGTTAAGTAAGAGTCATTTATAGAATGACTCTGTATCACTGCAGGTTTTCTATGTTACTGCCTCCAGCTAATTCAGGGTAGTATGTTGGATAGATTATTACTGCCCTTTGACTTCAGTTTTAGATTAGATAGCAAGTTTTACAGTTTTGAATCTGATAGCAAGTTTTATAACTGTTTACCTATTCATAGTTACGATTTTTACTGTGACAGAGCATATCTTCCTTAAGACATGTGTTAAGACACGGTGCCTTCTCCAGAGTACTTTGATTACAAAGTAAACTATTATCATATATAGTATCCTGTTTAGATGGTAACCATGATCTTGACAGGCACAACAATTTTAAGTATGTTCCCAGGTGCCATCAAAAAAGATTGTACATAGTAAGTGAGCCCAGCTTTACATCCCTGGAGAGAAAAAGTCTCTGTTCAGCCAAACTCCCTTTCACATGCCACAGTTTTCTCTGATGGATGCTAGGGCAGATCTCTGCAGCATTTCTGTCTTATGTGGAGTGGCCTACAGTGGGTGATGCTCAAGGTGCTATAGATAAGGGTTAACAGCAGCACATTCTCTGCCAAACTGACCATCAGGGAGAGCATGTTGTAATCAGATCACAGGAGCGAAGGTGATGGTGTACACACAAGGTTATAGGCTGCCTGGAAAAGGTGCTTGTTCTAGATTTTCTAGCCTGCAAGAATACCTTTTTTCCTACCTCCTAGCAAACAGGAGAAGATCTGTTCTTCCTTTATTTTAGTTTCTTAAACACTGCTGTTCTCTCCATCTTTTTTGTTTTCAATTGTATTTACTTGACCTTGTCTTTCTGCAGCATGTTTTGTTTATTGCAGCATGTTTTGTTCATCAGTGTCTTCTGTCTATCATCCTCGCTTTAAACTTAATCCTGAGAATTACAGGTTATCTTAAACATATTTCTTGTATTCCCTATCAAGGAAAATGTGCAAGAGCATATGATCTAGTGTGTCTTCTCCTCCATTTCCTTTAGCTTTGCTCTCCAGCTCATCTTTTGTCTTGCCTTCTTCCTAGCTTTATTATTGATGACCTTTCACATTCTCAATCCTACCAGCTCTCACCCACCACACATCTCAATCTTTATGTCTCAGTCACATCACTATGAGGGAACACTTCCTTCAGTGCCGCTGCTCCAACTGGCCATCAGCCTCTCACTATTAATGGTTGCAGTGTCAGAGTGAGGATGTGTTAGCAGTCACAAAGGAGGAAAATCAAAGTAGAAGTCCAGAGGAGGACCATGAAGATAAATGGGGACTGGAGCGCCTCCCTGATGAGGACAGGCTGAGACGTGTTGGAGTTGTTTAGCCTGAAGAAAAGAAGGCTCCAGGATGACCTTGTAGCAGCCTGCCAGTACTTAAAGGGGGCCCAGAGGAAAGCTGAGGAGGGACTGCTTATGAGGGGCTGTAGTGATAGGACAAGAGATACCAGTTTCAAACTGTAGAAGGATAGATTTAGATTAGATATTAGGAAGAAATTACTTCCTCAGAGGTGGTGAGACACTGGAACAAGTTGCCCAGAGAAGTTGTGGAAGTCCCCTCGCTGGAAGTGTTCAAGGCCAGGCTGGATGGGGCTTTGACCAACCTCTTCGTGTGGGAGGTGTCGCTGCCCATGGCAAGGGCGTTGGAACTAAATGATCTTTAAGATCCTTTCCAACCTAACCCATTCTATGGTTCTGTGATAATAGAAGCGTCAGAGGACTCACAGCCTGAAGTGGAAAAAAAGAAAAAACAGCTCTGGCAAGCAGACTCTCTCTTGCCTGTGCCTTTGTCTCTTCTGAAAGTGGCAAGGCAGTTGCATCTCTGGACACTATGAAAAATGCCAGTTTGGGATTCTGAAGGACAAGGTTCTTCCTATCTTAAAATTGAATGCTATCAGAATTTCACTTTTCAGTTGCTGCTGATTGTTTTTGGTATAAAACATTTCTGCTGCTTGCTGTGAGTTCCATTTCATGCATGAAGATAAATACTACTTGTATTCACATTCCACTAAACAAATCATGTGCTCTCATACAGAATGAAAACTTCAATGCCTATTGCTTTTAAAAAGGTAACTTTTTGTAGGAAACAAATAGTTAGGTTTTGTCCCTGATTTCTGGTGCTGTTGTGAATTTCTGCCAAGGGCGTCCTTGCCGGCAGCAGGAGTGGTGTGGCCAGCAGGAGCAGGGCAGGCATTGTGCCCCTGTACTTGGCACTGGTGAGGCCACACCTTGAGTACTGGGCGCAGTTCTGGGCTCCACAGTACAGGAAGGACATCGAGGTGCTGGAGAAGGGACAGAGGAGGGCAGCCAGAATGATTAGGGGGCTAGAGGGTAAGTCTTATGAAGAGAGGCTTAGGGAGCTGGGGCTGCTCAGCCTGGAGAAGAGGAGGCTGAGAGGAGACCTTATTGCTCTCCACAACTACCTGAAAGGCAGCTGTAGTGAGACGGGTGTTGGCCTCTGCTCCCTAGTGAACAGCGATAGGACAAGAGGGAACGGGTTCAACTTGCGCCAGGGGAGGTTTAGACTGGATATTAGGAAAAACGTCTTCACCGAAAGGGTGGTGAAGCATTGGAATGGGTTGCTGAGGGAGGTGGTGGAATCACCATTCCTGGACGTGTTTAAAAAACAGCTGGATGTGGCCCTTCAGGAGGTGATTTAGTGTTAGGGTGGTGTAGGGCTGTAGGATGAACTTGATCTTAAGGTCCTTCCCACCTTGATGTTTCTATGATTCTATGATTCTGTACTTTGCCTACTGCTCTCTTAATTGCCTATTTTTGGCAGAACAAATGGTACCATGATTTATCTCTGTCTTTATCAGCTGCTGTGAAATGATAAAGCATTATTACAGCACAGTAACATTCACCTGAAAGTCTTGTGAGGACAGAATAAAAATCTCAGGGTTATACATAACATCAGTAATGGGCTTTATTTTTCCATGCTATGATAATGCCCTTTCACAAGAAGCTGATGTTGCTAGAATTGCTTGCAACCTTGGAACATAGGAAATAGACCTGTTACATGTATTTATTTCATTTCAAATATACTCACAGCAGGCTGTTTACCTCAAATCTTAGTGCCTCCAAAGCTCTGCATTCATATGCGTTCAAGACTAATGCACAACGTTCAAAATTAATGCACAAGTTGAAAGATTAATTTGTCCCTGAGACCCATACAAATATCCAGACAAATATAGCTAAAGCAGCTGAAGTCAAAAGGACAATCTGATCTTTTGCATGTCAACACATTAATTTAATAGTTTCAGTTGACAGTATTTCAGCATCTTACAACATTAAAGCTGGCGAGACTACGCATATCTCATTTGTACAGTCTGAAATATCTCACTACATTTTAATTGTAGGCATAAACTTCGATAATTTTCCACAAAGTAAATGTGGATTTTTTTTATAGGATTGTGTCTGAAGTTTCTACAAGAAAGGATTTAATCTGTCCCTGACTGGGAGCTGTAACTTCAAATTCAAAACATGTTCTATAATCAAGGCAAATAAACTTGGAAAAAACCATTTGTTAACTTTTCTGATTTGTCTCTAGTCTTCATTGTAAGGATTTAGCAGGAAAGTGGAGTGTTTTGGCATCAACTGCATATAGATTTGAGTATTATTTATGACTGTATTTTTGTCATCTTCCGCAGTTTAAAATTATTTCCAATGTATTAGTTAATTCTTGTTCTATATTGTAATGTATATCTATATGTAAGATATTATAATATATCTCTCTCTTCCAAAATAAAGTGCAGAACAGTGTTAGTCTGTGTTTTTTAAGATAGTATGCTTTCTAAATTTCGAACATAGGTGTCACTGAAGTCAGCTTTAGTGTTTCGTAAGTATACCTGAGGATAGAACTAGATACCTATTATCACTGCCTTATGAAAACAAGGCAATGAGGTGGATCCATTTGTTTAACTAGTCCATTTTATTTTGCAGACTTGCAATCCATTCCATTGTAATTCTGCCACTGATCTACTTAATAATAGTAAGGAAGAATCCTTTTCGGTTTGCCATGGGGATGGCTCAGGCACTTCTGACAGCCCTTATGATTTCTTCCAGGTAAAGAAAAGAAACATTTGTTTTCTGTAGTGTTCTTGGTAGTAATTGCATTGTTTGTACTCTGATTTTAATGCTGCTTTGTTACATACCCTGTTTTCACCTGGACAGTTCCCAAGCCTATGAAGGCTGAAATACTACTTTCATTATTACTTCTGTAGTACCCAGAGGGGCACAGTAGACTGTGCTTGCCTTACACCAGACAAGAGTCTGTCCCTCTCAGGAGGACAGTTCTCCACCATCCTGTTCATTAGTCACAGACTTGCTAGAGTTTAAGCTGTTGCACTGCTTCTGTGACAACATGCAGCACGACGATTTTACCAGGTAATTTTGAGGATAGCTAGGACTCTGTTGTTTCTTCCCATAATCAGAAGATATAACAAAAGTTACTTGGGTTTTTTTGTGATGCAGCCTTCCTGCCTGCCTTAGATCTTCGTTTGAGTCTTAGAGTAGATCAGGCTCTGAGGAGAAGGAAAGATAAGGGAAATGGTATGCTGCTGCCTGTACTTACTGTATTTATCTATGTTTATCTGTGTGCCAGCTCAGCAACTTTGCCTGTCACCTTCCGCTGTGCAGAAGAAAAAAACCTCATTGACAAAAGAATTACCAGGTTCGTTCTTCCAGTTGGAGCTACCATCAACATGGATGGCACAGCTCTTTACGAAGCAGTAGCAGCTGTATTTATTGCACAACTGAATGACTTAGAACTGGATATTGGCCAAATAGTTACCATCAGGTAAGACTAAAGTCTTCACACGTGTTTTGTTGGAAGTGGGGTTTTTTTAAGGAATGGTACAGTAACTTTGGGATACACCATGGGAAAGCTGAAAATATCATTCACAGCCCAGGAAGTGAGAGAAACATTCTCACTCCTTGGTCCAAGGCCTTTCCTGTGCAGCCTCATGAGGAAGTGGGTTGGGCCAAGACATGCAGCTGGTACACAGCATCATTCTGGAAAAGGCCATTATTCTTCTGCTGCAAACACTTGCAAATCCAGCTCAGCCTCTACTTCTGATCTGTCCAGTTTGCTTGTTAGTCATGTGTTGTCTGTTATTCTGCAGTGTAACCATAACAGTATATATACATGACTTATCCCGTAAATTTGTCACCAGACTTTGAGTAGATATATTAAAGAGGAAAACTGGAACATTTGGGCTTCTTTCTTAAAGCGAAATAAGCCTATTTGTGCCAGTGAATAAGAGGTTTGTGAGCAACATGTATTCTGAATGCCTTTTCTGGGCTCTATTTGGGATTTAGTGTCACAGCTACAGCAGCCAGCATCGGGGCTGCAGGCGTCCCCCAAGCCGGACTTGTCACCATGGTCATTGTACTGAGCGCTGTTGGCCTGCCTGCCGAAGATGTTACTCTGATCATTGCAGTTGACTGGCTCCTGTAAGTTTAAGGCACTTGATATTAAATTATTATTTTTTTTTTAATGTTTACGTAAGTGATGTAGGAACATAATAGATCTGAGAATGCAGGAATTGGACAAAGATTTTTCTTATGACCAGGCATGTTCAATATAGAGTTGAATGCAGCAGCGGCTTTAATTCTGAGACAAGTCCTACTGCATAGCAGTGAATAACCACACATCCAGAGGTGCTAAAATAGTAGCCACACCATTAATAAATTATAAGCATAATACTCTGCAAAGTGAAGTTTAGCAGTACCAAGGAGTGCATCTGGAGTGTCAGCTGCCATCATATCACATCATGGGCTATGAATTTACACCCCATTCATAAAAATCAAGTGCAGTCACAAGTGGAACATCTCAGATGGTTACCACAAAGCGCATAAAACCCATACACTGGTGAAGGAGGTAGTGGAGCACAGCATGAGCTAAGCCAAGCCTGTCCTGGAATCCACATCCACATACGTGGTGGGCTGTACATAGGTCTGTACTGCCAACGTTACTTTCCTATGACTGACAGTTTTTTAAAGATCCATCCCCTTGATCAGTGAGCACACACATGCAAACTCCGAAAACATTCCTTATGCCTGATCCCAACTGTCTCACCTCAGAGCACATCAAAACCCCTCAGTTCCATTAAGCAGCTCTTTCTGGAGAGAAGCATTTTTATCAGAAGTCTTTTCTGTTCGTCTTACACCAAGATGTTTCTCTGCTACTTTTGCAAAAGCCCAAAGAATCACAGAGCGTGTTCTGGAGTTCAGAAGGACACCAGCATCCAGTATTGTCCCATGTCTCACATGGAAAGAGTAACAGGATTCACAAGTTAAGGAGCGTAACTTCATTCTGTAATACAGCTTTCTGTCTCCTAAACTGTGCAAGCTTTAGTGCTCAAACCAAAGTCTTGTTTGCCTGCAGTATTCAGCATAGATGATATTTCATTAATATCAATGCAGAGACCTTAACCATTTCATAATCTCTGCATGTCTTCTTCTTAGGCTTATATTTGTAGTCAAGGTAAATAAATTCCTGTTACTCACTCACCCCTTCCAATCATCTTCTCAAAGGATTTCTGGCAGCAGCCTATGTATTTCACAGATATAGATACAGATATATATAACTTATTTGATTATATAACTCAGTTTTGCAAGCCCTAGACAGAAACGACAAGCTCCAGAAAACCAGGGCTATTGAATGGATCCAGGAATCAATTCAATTTCTGTATAAGCATAATTGCTTCCAAAAAAACAGCTCCATTCATAAATACATTCTCCCATCAACTGTCTGCGATAGAGTCTAATAGGTTTGTTTGCTATGCTCCACAATAATTTCATTTTCCTCAGCTCTGTTCTTTTCCCAGTGGGCATTTAGATTTGCTAGGGTTGGTGAAGATCAGTACAAACCACTCGCTCAGAGAAGGTATCTAATGAAGAATAGAACAAGGATATACTGGTTCTTTTCTGAAAATACTCTCCTAGCCTCCGGCAAATTGTAGCTCACAGTGTTCCTGAGGTGGCTTTTGTTTTAACAGTTCTCAATAAGTTTCTTCTTCCATGAATATGTGATTGCTTTTAGATTTCCTTAAGTCCTGTGGAGAGGAATTCCACAACGTAGCATGTTCCACTGACACATAATTAATTTTGTTTGGGTTTTTTTGCATCTCATCTCCTCTCCGCTTTGAAAGTCTACAATTTATATGATTCTTAGGCAGAGTACAAATACAGCGAAGTTACCTGTTCCACCATGAAGCAGACAAAGAATTCAAGCTGTTTCTGATTCTAATTGAGATATTTTTTCCGATTGAGGAGTGTTGCTATGTAAAGCAAATTAAAGATTAATTTCATGTACCAGGGATCATTGCCAATGCATTTTGCACCTCAGCAGATGGAATGCACATCATGATGCCGCGTAGATTATTAACATTTTCACCTTTTGTACTTATTGCCTAAAATGTATTATTTTGCAACCTACTAGTAGTGGCTCATTAACAATCCTCTAGTTAATTCTGTACTAACCAAGGTTTTATTACATAGACTTGAGGAGTACTTCCATATTTTTGATGAAGAGTAGGAAAATCTTGAGAATGGAAGTATTATGAAATACGAGTTTCCAGTGCTGTTGATCTCCTCACTTGCACGCTGATCTGACCAGAATTTTATTTTCCCTACCATGTATTTCCTTTCCACATGCAGGACACATGGGCACTTATTAACACTGGAGTTCAGCAGTTGTAGTAGAAAAATATGTACATGAGACATGCTGGTTCATTTCACTATTGTTTTTGCAGTCCCATCTGGTTTTTTTAATACATCCATCTCAACAGTGCTGCACAGAGCAACTCGTCTACCATAAAGCCCTTGCAGTGCTGTGTAGCTAAGAAGTAAAACAGGAAAGCATGACCTTCCACTGTCCCTGGCTTACTTTCATGCCAATTTCCAAACTTTGCTATATTGCTTGGTTTTGTTGTTCCTCTGCCAAGTAGTGGCAGATTTTGAAGGCCTGCAAGCCACGTTTCTGTTGGGAAAAAAATCAACAGTACAGAAGTATCATATTCCTTTTAAGTGACTTGTTTAAACAACTTTGCACTTCAACTCTTTAACAACGAGAAGCTAACAGAAGGTAGCCTTTCCTGTTTCCAAGATCTGGGCCAAAATACTGAAGATACTGGGCTAGGCAGTCCTCTGGCTGAGGAAATGGCTGTTAGAAAGGCAAAATGCACAATGCAGACTCTTCTTCTGCACCCCACAGTCTGTCCTCCCAACAAAGGCAGTCTCATCGCAAAGAGAACCAGCTGCGTAGCATACTTCAGGGCCTGAGAAGCAATCCCCACAACATTTCGTAACGCCGCGTACAGCAGTGCGATTACTGCTCTAACAGACTAGTGGCATAACTTGTGGTTTTGCACACCGGGTACAAAGTAATTTGCCATGAAAATGACTCTGAGTTTCTTCAAATCCATATGCGGAAAATTCAGTTCCCTGTTTTACAAGATTTTTTCCTTTTAATTGCAGAATTATCCTGAATCTTCATGAAAAAAGAAAACACAAACAAACAAACAAAACTTCACATTTTTCTAGAGTAGCTTAATTTTACTTAAAAGCTTTCCTAAATAACATACAGAATGGTTTGCCTGACAATTTTTTTATTCCGTAGGGATCGATTCAGAACAATGGTGAATGTCTTGGGAGATGCCTTTGGTACGGGGATAGTGGAGAAGCTCTCTAAAAAGGAGCTGGCGCAGATGGATGTCACCTCTGAAGTCAACATAGTCAATCCTTTTGCAATGGAAACAATACTTGATGAAACAGAGACCAAGAAATCATATGTCAACGGGGGTTTTGCTGTAGATAAGTCTGACACCATATCCTTCACCCAGACATCTCAGTTCTAAAGACAGTACCTTTCAGGTTAAACAGGAGCACTGAAGGACTTGGCCATATGCAATGTCTCTAAAAGCTTAAAGGGTAATTGAGAATCAGTTAACATCTCACATGCATTTGATTTAGTGCACAAACTCTGATTGTCCTTACCAGTTTTACCCCCTTCTCATCACCTCTCCCAACAGTCTGAATTCACCACTTTTAGTCCTTGCTGATAGATTGAAGAAAAAGTTGTAAAATACTTTTTTATTGGTGAGGCTATGAAATGCCTCTTCAAATTCAGCATGCTCATAAATGGGTATCTTAGCTGGGACAGCCAAGTGTGTTTTACTCAGGAGTAGCACAGCATTTCACATCTTACCCACACTACAAAGCACCTGTACGAAACCCTTTTTAACATCCTTGCCTTCTGAACAGATTGCACTGTACTTGACACCTACTGTAACTTGATCACGTGCCAAAATACTCATTTCTGCAGCTGAGGGGATAACACTTGATTGATTCAGGAAGTAATAGACCAGAAAGGCCTTGTAATAAGTATTTTACTGTGAACAGGGTTTCATTTTTTTTTAATTGTAAAATAATTCAGCATGGAAGAATTTCCAGTGTTTATGTAGCTAGGTTTCCCCATGCCTTTTATGTGAATACCAACTGCTGAAATTGGCCTTCAGATGTGAAACAAACTGCAGTGGGTTTGCTCTTCTGGCATTTTAAGAGGTTTTTATGAAGTGGTACTTTGGTGATTTTGGTCCACTTTGATGGTCTCCTAATACATTTCCATCAGAAGTGGAAATAAATCTACTGTTGTTCACCGTTGATTCTAACCAAATATTAATCAGCCCAAAGGTAAGCAGAGGTCATAAGATGAAGATAGACTACATAGCAACACATAGTGCAATTTCTAAATCTTTCCTCCTTGGAATAAAAACAGATATAATATCAAGAATATAGAAGGCATATCTTTTTCTAGAAAGAAACCACTGTCACTAAGCTTTTTACACAGACTGGTTGGTTTTTTGCTCCTGGTTTAGTTTGCCAGTTGAACATGCAATTTTTTAACTGCAACACTACTACAGTGCCAACATGTTACCTAAACTGTATCTTATGAAGCATTTCTGGACCCAGAAAGTCATGCATTCAGGTGGCTTGCTATAGGATAAGAAGGACCAAGAACTTCCTCATAAGAAATCTCCATTTTCTAAAACATTTTATACAAGATTTCCATGGTGCAAAAATCACTCTCTCAAGGGAGGAGATGTAACAAATTTTTTTGCCTTGCACATTGAAGTCATTAGTTATTTTATATGTAAAGTAAATTGAAATTCATATACAATTCTTTGTTTGTAAATAAGCTTGTGGTAACCTAAAATTGCACTCATATGCTAACAAAAAAACCTTCCAGTTCCTGCAGTGTTACATATTCGATTAAACTTTTGTATTTAAATAAACCAGAAGTGTGCCAAAGAGAACTAATTAAGAAAAGAAGAAAATATTTACTGTAGGTTTTGATAAGTTGCACCTTAAATCCACAAGTCATTAAGACATAATACTGTATTTAAATTAAACATTGTAAACTATATAGAAGTGTTGATATAAGTATTGGTATGTTTATACAAAATAAAGAAAATTTACAGATTGAGTAAATCAATCTTTTACTTGTGCAGAAGTAGTATGAAACAATTTGTATTTGCTCAGCTTTGCTTATGGGAGGAAAAAACCCACCAGTTTCCAAAACTAGCCTATAATTATGCTTTGTCTTTGCTTTTTTAAGTAACTCTTTTATGGTCACCCCATTATGTAGCCACCCTGTTATGATGTACTGTGAACAGTGTTCCTAATGTGTTCTAAATAAATAACTTCTCTCTTTACACTTGTTTTAGCCTACCATACTCTCATCGATGTAGAATATTTAGTTCCTCTAGCTATAGCAAGAAAAATAAACCAGTTGAATATAGGATTTATGTTTTCTTCACTAGTGACTCAGCTGTAGCTTTGGAAAGAATGAGTCTCTTTTTCAGTAAAATAAATGCTTAAGATTGCAGGAAAGCTCTCGAACTACAGATGATGGGTATATTAAAGGCAGATCCTACCCGGCTAATCTGGTCTCCTCCTATGACGAGGTGACCCGGTCAGTGGATGAGAGAAAGGCTGTGGACGTGTCTACCTGAACGTAGTAAAGTCTTTGACACCATTGCCCGCAGTATTTTCCTGGAGAAACTGGCTGCTCATGACTTGGACAGGTGGACCCTTTGCTGGGTGAAAAACTGGCTGTCTGGCCGTCCCAAAGTGTGTTGGTGAATGGAGCTGAAGCCAGCTGGTGGCTGGTGACCAGTGGCACTCCCCAGGGCTCAATGTTGGGGCCAGTCCTGTTTAACATCTTTGTCAGTGACCTGGACAAGAGGATCAAGGGCAGCCTCACTAAGTTTGCAGGTGACACCAAGCTGGGTGGAGTCGCGGGTGTGCTGGAGGGTGGGAGGGCTCTGCAGAGGGGGCTGGGCTGAGGGGCCGAGGCCAGTGCTATGAGGGGCAACCGGGCCCAGGGCCGGGTCCTGCCCTTGGCTCCTGGCAGCACCAGAAGTGCGGGGGAGAGCGGCTGGAAAGGGGCCCCG